TCGTTGGAAGCTTCTGCTGCTGCTGCTGCTTCCACTCCTTGTAGTACAAGGACTCAAGGAACTTCACATCCCTTGACACAGTCAGCTGCTGGCTGGTCAAGTCCCAAATCAGCCAGCCCTTGTGATCCTTAGCAAGCCCCAAGTGCACACCCCATCTCCCAGAAGCTTCCAGTTTTCCCCTCTTCTCCTTAGGCACATGAAACACCACCATGCACCCAAAGGCTCTCAGCATGTTCACAGCTGGTGCAATCCCATACCACTTGGTGTAGGGGACCCACTGCTTGTCCCCCACAGTCGCCAGCACCCTGTTCTTCACAACAACGACCTGCCGCAGTGCTGTCACCCAAAACGGATCCGGCAGCCCTGCACGCCCAAGGAGAGTGCGAGCACCTTCCTGCAGGGTCCGGTTGAACCGCTCAGCCACGCCATTCTGCTGAGGGTTGTAAGGCACTGTGAGCTGATGCTGGATCCCCTTCCGCTTCAGCTCCTTCTCAAAATCAGCGCCGATGAACTCTCCTCCGTTGTCAGTGCGGATCACCTTCACCTTGTGTCCGCTTTCCCTTTGTGCTCTCGGCATCCACTCCTTAAGAACAGCCGCTGCCACCTCCCCCTTAGTCTTGAGAGGGTACACCCATACCGCACGCGTGTGGTCGTCCACAATCGTCAAGAAGTAGCGGCTGCCCGAGAGAGAAAGGGCCCTCGTGGGGCCCACCACAATTATGTGCACTAGTTCAAGTGGTGCCTTGGCTGGTCCTGTGCTGCTGCTGAAGGGAAACTTCGTGAATTTGGTCTCAAGGCAGGTAGGGCAGCTCCCAATCTCCTTTGCTCCCCCCTTCACCTCCAGCCCCTTCAAGCACCCATCCTTTACCAACTTCTGCAGCATAGGAATGTTCACATGGCACAGCCTCTCATGCCACGTCTCCCAATCAGCCTCACCACTCCCAGATGAAGCCTTTGCCCATGCAGCTGTCGCATCCACACCAGCAAGCACCTCACCATGTGGCTGTTGTGGCTGCTGCACCTTCTTGACTGCATCCAGGGCCCCAGCAGTTGGTGCAGTCTCCTCTCCTCCCGCAGTTGCTTTAGCCGCTGCCGCTGCCTTTGCCGTTGCTGGTGGTTTCCCCTTCCAAGGGATGATGGGCAGCTGCCACAAGTCCTTGATGCAGCTGCTCTTCTCCTCCAAGTTCCACAGCAGCAACTTCCCAAGCTTTGCACGGCAGCTGGTTGGGCCGAAGGTAACTTCAGCCTTGCTCTTCTGCAGCCGGCGCACAGAAAGAAGGTTAGCGGACAAACCTTCAACCAACAGCACATTCCCAAGCCCCACAAGCTCTCCATTGGCTCCCATCACCTTGGCATTCCCAACACCAATCACAGGGAGCAAAGCACCTGAAGCGGCAGCCACAAACTTGATCTTCCCAGGAGGTTTTACCTCATCAAGCAAATCTGCCCGTGGGGTCATATGACTCGTGCAACCTGAATCGATCACCCAGTGAGTGAGGGGGTGCATCACAACCTTCCCAACTGAACCCACATCACCCCCACTCCCTTGCACATCCTCAACCATGAGGAACATCCCAGGGTCGGCTTTACCTTGTGCACCATCACCTTGTGCACCTGAACCTTGCACAGCGCCACCGCGTGCACGTTCACCACTTGGCGGCTTCATGCCTGGAGGGGCCCATCCCTCAGGCCGGCTGAAACACTTGAACCACGGGTGTCCAGCCTTCTTGCAGTACCAGCACGCACCCTCCATTCGGGTGCTCCCCCTGCCACCAGAGCTCCCATGCCCCTCATTGTAGTCACCTCGGCCTCTCCCTCTGCCAAAGCCTCTCCCACGGCCTCGGCCTCTCCCTCCCCCTCTTCCTCTGCTGCCTCCTGCAGCTCCATACCCCTCAGCAGTTTTGTTGGCAGCACCACCTCCCGTGTGGCGTCTGCGGAAGTCCTCCTGCAGAATCTGCTGCCGTAGCCACTCAGGCGTCCATTTGTCCTGCTGAACGTTGAGGGTGGGGATGAGGTTGTCCCACGAGTTGTCGAGCACCGAGATGATCTTGGTGCACTGTTGCATCTGCGACACTTCGCTGCCCGCCGCTGCCATCCTCGCATAGGTGTCCTTGATCTTGTCAAGGACCGGTTTCACATCATCTCCCGGTTTCATGGAGAGGGCAGCCAACTCCTTCTCCAACACAATCACCATCGGCAGCGTGTTGGGCTGAATCACGTCGCGTAGCAGCTTCCATGCCTTCGGTCCGGAATCATCCAACTCCACCAAATCCTTGATGTGCTGGAACATGTCGTTGTTGACCGATTGGAGGATGAGGTCGTACAGCACCGCGCTCTTCTCAATCCACCGATCGCGGGCATCTCCTTCCCCCGGCATCTTCTCCTCTCCCATTGCAATTTTCAGCAGCTTGTAGCGCTTGAAGGCGCTCCGCATCCGCCCGCTCCATTCCTCATAGTTGGAGCCATCCAAAGCTTCAATCTTGGATGATGGCGGCTCACTCCTCTTCTCAGCTGCATCTCCACTCCCTTGATTCATCTCCTCTGCTCCCAATCAGAGGTTTCAGCTCCCCCTTTTGCTGGTCACAATGTAGATCCACACAATCTTCACAAGTGTCAGCGCCAACGAAATTTCGGCAGAGTTTCCCCTTAGCGGAAGTCACATCCAACCTCCAGAACTCCACTTAGGCACGCCCACAGGCCATGGTGGGTCTAGGAGGGTCTTCGCACTTCAGTAGACTCCCCACAAGGTCCTTAATCAGCTCTGATACCACTTGTTAGAGACTAAGGACGGAGTCTATGAAGATTAGGTGCCTAAATTTCTCAAAATCGTTGGTCCCTATTTCTGGACAGAATAGTTGCGCTCACAAGAAACGCCGTCGACGAAAAGTGCACAGTCTAAACTTCACTAAACTCATATATGTTGTAGCCCTACTCCGTGGCTACAATTCCCAAGTTGAAACGTATCAAGAGGTGAAGTAAATCTCGACTTATCAATTTCGGCGCACAGGGGGGTATGCTGCCATAAGAACTTAACTCAATCACAAAGTTCACACAAGTTCACACAAGAGAATTAGAGTAGCAATAGAGCCAGGTAGGAGGGGATGAGGAGGACGAGAGGGAAGGTCCCAAGAGAGTCCCCAACCAAGGAAACCCCATGCCATACAATTCCCTTCCCCATAGGCAACCCAACTTTGACCTTTGTCACTATCCCAACCTCCACAATCCACCTCAACCCAACTTGGCCACACTTGCCAACCTGGTTTGGTTTCTCCCAACCATTTGGCAGCAACTACAGTAGAAAAGACGAATTTCCCAACCCCCAAAAGTCTGTACCCCATATTGAGTCAACCCCACAACTTCCCATAGTCACCACAACCAAATATCAAAAGCATACGAACTCCAACGTTCGTAACTTTCTAGTTCGTGCTCCGATTGAAGCGATACTTGGTTCCTCGGAAAGCTCTTGAGCAGAGGAGTCACTTCAGATATCTGCTCAAGCCAAATAACATTCACACACACACTCAGAAAAACCAAACCGCACAAAACACAAATTCTTGCACACACTCACAACACGCATGCAACGCACGAACATATGATGGGAGGCAGACAGACGTGAATGCGAATGGTAGCATCACTCAACTCCTGGTGCCCGTCGCGGCGCCCCGGGGGGGGGCCGCGCGGCTCCCTTCTCGTCGCCCCTCGGGGCGCCCTTGGGGCCGTGCGTTCCCCCCCCCCCCCCCCTTCTGCCTTTCAGCTGCGGCGGCCGCCCCTGGAGCCGCCCGCCACTGCAGCAGCGACCCCTGGAGCCGCCCGCCACTGCAGCAGCCGCCCCTGGAGCAGCCCGCACCTGCAGCAGCCGCCCCTGGAGCAGCCCGCACCTGCAGCAGCCGCCCCTGGAGCAGCCCGCACCTGCAGCAGCCGCCCCTGGAGCAGCCCGCACCTGCAGCAGCCGCCCCAGGACCCTCGCGAGCCGCCTCTGCAGAAGCCCGCCCCGTCCCCCGCCCCCCCCCCCCCCCCCCCCCCCCCCCCCCCGCCCCCCTCCCCCCCCCCCGTGCTGCCCATTGCTCCCATTCCACCGTGCGTTCCGCGGTGGCTGGGGTGTGGGGTGGCGAGCATGGGGGTGAGAGGTGTGGGTTCTCCCCTCCTCCTTTTTCGTCTCCCACTGCTGCAGCTGCCGCTGAGGGGGGTGGAGGTGTGGGAGTCATGGGGAGTGGCACTAGGGGGGTGATGTGGGAGTGGAGCTAGGGGTGAAGCAGGGGGTGTGTGAGAGGGGTGTGGGACTGTTGGGGGAGGTTGAGTGGAGGCTGCTGTCTTGTCGTCCGCAGCACCTGTAGTCCGGGGCGCACTGTCCTGGTAGCTCAGAGAGCCTGCTGCACCTGTTGCCCGTGGGTCCGTTGCTCCTGCCGCTCGTCGCAGCCGCAGAGCCTGTTACTCCTGTATTCCGGGACGCACTGTCTCGGTAGCCACTGAGAGCCTGCTGCACCAGTCGCCCGTGGGTCCGTTGCTTCTGCCGCTCGTCGTAGCCGCAGAGCCAGTTACTCCAGTATTCCGGGGCGCTCTGTCTCGGTAGCCACTGTGTCAGCCGCCACTGTGTCAGCCGCTTCTGTTGCCCGTGTTTCTGCAGCTTCAGTCGTCGCCTCCCATCTTCTCTCCTTTCATAGTCCCTCCTCCTCCTCACTTGCCCTCTGTGATAGCCTCTAGCTTTGCTGATAATTATGAACTATTGCTATGACTGCTCATTGTGCTGATTACACCCCACTTTGGCTATGGGGGTGTGTCAGATTATGTTGTTTGTGTAGCCTGCAGTGGGGTACTCTATAGTGAGTACAGCCCCTTAGGGTTTGCTATTTGTATCCTGCTGCTTGCTAGTTCAATCATTCCTTCTCAATTCTGTTCCTACACACATTCCTAGCTCGTACTTGGCTCCTCGTTACTAGTCCTACTGTGGCCTAGGCTACTAAGCCTAGGCCGTACTCCTACTACTTCTAACAACAACTGTTTCAGAGTGCACTAGTATGGGAAAGCGGGAGAATGGGGCGGGGTGATGGAAAGCGGGAGAATGGGGCGGGGTGATGGAAAGCGGGAGAATGGGGCGGGGTGATGGAAGGAGGGAGAATGGGGTGGGGTGATGGAAAGCGGGAGAATGGGGCGGGGTGATGGAAAGCGGGAGAATGGGGCGGGGTGATGGAAAGTGGGAGAATGGGGCGGGGTGATGGAAAGCGGGAGAATGGGGCGGGGTGATGGAAAGCGGGAGAATGGGGCGGGATGATGGAAGGAGTGAGAGTGGGGCGGGGTGATGGAAAGCGGGAGAATGGGGCGGTGTGATGGAAAGCGGGAGAATGGGGCGGGGGGATGAAAAGCGGGAGAATGGGGTGGGGTGATGGAAAGTGGGAGAATGGGGCGGGGTGATGGAAAGCGGGAAAATGGGGCGGGTTGATGGAAAGCGGGAGAATGTAGCGGGGTGATGGAAAGCGGGAGAATGGGGCGGGGTGATGGAAAGCGGGAGAATGGGGCGGGGTGATGGAAGGAGGGAGAATGGGGCGGGGTGATGGAAAGTGGGAGAATGGGGCGGGGTGATGGAAAGCGGGAGAATGGGGCGGGGTGATGGAAAGCGGGAGAATGGGGCGGGGTGATGGAAAGCGGGAGACTTAGGCGGGGTGATGGAAAGCGGGAGAATGGGGCGGGGTGATAGAAAGCGGGAGAATGGGGCGGGGTGATGGAAGGAGGGAGAATGGGGCTGGGTGATGGAAGGAGGGAGAATGGGGCGGGGTGAAGGAAACCGGGAGAATGGGGCGGGGTAATGGAAAGCGGGAAAATGGGGCGGGGTGATGGAAAGCGGGAGAATGGGGCGGGGTGATGGAAAGCGGGAGAATGGGGCGGGGTGATGGAAAGCGGGAGAATGGGGAGGGGTGATGGAAGGAGGGAGAATGGGCCGGGGTGATGGAAGGAGGGAGAATGGGGCGGGGTGATAGGAGGGAGAATGGGGCGGGGTGATGGAAAGCGGGAGAATGGGGCGGGGTGACGGAAAGCGGGAGAATGGGGCAAGGTGATGGAAGGAGGGAGAATGGGGCGGGGTGATGGAAGGAGGGAGAATTGGGCGGGGTGACGGAAAGCGGGAGAATAGGGCAGGGTGATAGAAAGCGGGAGAATGGGGCGGGGTTATGGAAGGCGGGAGAATGGGGCGGGGTGATGGAAAGCGTGAGAATGGGGCGGTGTGATGGAAAGCTGGAGAATGGGGCGGGGTGATGGAAAGCGGGAGAATGGGGCGGGGTGATGGAAAGCGGGAGAATGGGGCGGGGTGATGGAAAGCGGGAGAATGGGGCGGGGTGATGGAAAGTGGGAGAATGGGGCGGGGTGATGGAAAGTGGGAGAATGGGGCGGGGTGATGGAAAGCGAGAGAATGGGGCGGGGTGATGGAAGGAGGGAGAGTGGGGCGGGGTGATGGAAAGCGGGAGAATGGGGCGAGGTGATGGAAAGCGGGAGAATAGGGCGGGGTGATGGAAAGCGGTAGAATGGGGCGGGATGATGGTGCGGAGAGTCACTCTACAACGGTAGTGAGCTAGACTACGGGGGTCGGCACGAACTACTAGAGGTGATCGTAGCTTTGCTTGGTTCCTTAGTGCTTGCACATTCACGGGAGAAATCGGCAAGAGTTTCCACTAGCAAAGTTGGAATTACAGAATGATTAAACAAGCAATGACATAATGACTACATCAGGCGCCTAGCAACCCTGCAGCGAGCCTGGTCGACCGCCAGCACAGCTCGGTCAACCGCCTGCCAGCGTTGCGTAGAGGAGCCGCGCCAGCAGTGCAGAAGGGCGACCTGCCAACAGAGCAGGTCGACGGCTTGCCAACGCTGCAGCAGAGCGGCTGTCCAGCGTTGCCCCGTAGAATACAGCAGTGCGCACGCTCGCAGGTGCGCGCAGACGATTGGCCCGACTTGCCTCGTTGGGCATCCATCGGCTGTTGTCTGCGCCTGACGGGCCACATCGACTTCGGGATACCAGCCCGCAGTCGCCTTCGCCATCGCGACCTCGACGACGTTCGCGTGCCTCCGCAGAACTCGTCGAGCAGGTTACCCGATCGACCCGGTCGACCACCAGGTGCTTCCGGTCGACCATCACTGCTACTGGTCGACCCCCAGGTCCCTCTGGTTGACTACCAGGCGCCCCTGGTCGACCACAGCTCCCATCGAGCTACCCTCTGGTCGACGGACCCCTTCCGTCGACCGGAACAGTCAGCGGTTGTCGCCGAGCTGCAGGTCGACGGGATGCTTCTGAGACCTCCCGGTCAAGCTGCAGGTCGACGGGATGCTCCGGAGACCTCCCGGTCGAGCTGCAGGTCGACGGGATGCTGCGGAGACCTCCCGGTCGAGCTGCAGGACCTGGTCGACGTCCCACTCATCGCCCAGACTAAACAGTTGCAGCTGTCGAGCTCCCTGGTCGACAGCAACACCACAGCGGTCCCCTGCAGCTCGACGAAGCCTGTCGAGCAGCTCTTCCACTGTGAACGGTCGGCTGCTACTCCCATACATCCGACCAAGTCGTCGGCGTTGCCCAAGCGAGGGCGGGGCCAACACTCCATTCCCGTTAACACTCCCCTGCCGCGCTCACGCTTGGGCCTCCAGCCCACGTGGCAGTACTCCACGGAGAAAACTCGTCCTCGGCGTGCACCCCACACACAGCACGCCGTCACCGCACCAGCCGTGGAGATGGGCACGGCACCTACTGCTGCACCTCGTCGTCGCCGTCGCCGACGTCGGCCAGACGAACTTGTCCGATGGCGACAGAGCACCGGTTGAAAGCCGAAAAATGCAGCGCCTTCGCCAGGAAGTCCGCCGGCTGCTCGGTGGTCGGGATGTACTTCAGCCCGAATTTCCCGCGCCTCACCATGTGCTGCAGCCAGGCGTAGCGTCGCTCCGTGTGCTTGAGGTTGCCTGTCAACCCCAAGCCTTCAGCGACCGTGATTGCCAACTTGTTGTCGACGTGGAGGATGGTCGGCTTCCCAGCGTCGAGCAGCTTGAATTCCGCAAGGAGGAAACGAAGTCGACGCCCTTCCTTGCCGACATCCGTGGCCGCCACGTACTCCGACTCGGTCGATGACAATGTCGCGCACTTGATGCGCGAGCTCGACCAGGAGACGGCGACCCCTCCGTAGACGAACACGTAGCCTCCCGTGCTCGTCCGGTTCTGCTTGTCGCCCGCGTCGTCGGCATCGACGTAGCCGATCAGCTCCAACGATTCTGGTTCACCGCCGAACTCCAGGGCAGTGTCGCGGGTGTCGGCGAGGTAGGCGAGGCAGCGGTCGACCTCGCGCCAATGCTGGTCGCTCCTCACCGTGAGGCCGCTCCCCAGCTTGCTGCAGGCGAACGCGATGTCAGGCCTTGTCGTCGTCGCCGCGAAGTGCAGCGAGCCGACCTTCTGCTTGTACTCCTCCTCTTCGCGCTCCTGAGCCTCCTCGTCGTCGAACGTCAGCTGAGCGTAGGCGTCGACCGAGACCGGCGTCTTCGGGACTCGACCGCCCCGCTCCTCGTCGATGAAGCGCCTGCGCAGCTTGTCGGCGTAGCCCTGCTGGTGAAGCCACAGCTTCCTGGCCGGCCTGTCGCGCACGATCTCCAGCCCAAGGTACTTCACCACCGGCGAGATCTCGCGCAGCTCGAAGGCGGCCTCCAGCAGCTCCTTCAGCTCCTTCAGCATCACGATGCTGCTGCTAGCGGCGAGCAGGTCGTCGACGTAGACCAGCACCCAGCAGGTCACTCCGTCGCCGCCGGTCTTGAAGTAGAGCGCCTCGTCGACCTGACTCTTCTTCCAGCCAGCGCCCAGCAGCACTCCGTCAAGAGCCCTGTACCACAGCAGCGGCGACTGCTTCAGCCCGTAAAGGCTCTTCAGCAGCTTACACACCCGGCCGGTCCCATCGTCGAAGTAGTCCGGCTGGTACATGTAGAGCACCCTGTCGAGCTTGCTCTGCAGGAAAGCGTTCTTCATGTCGAGCTGCATCAGGTTGAGGTCGAGGACGGCGACGATGCTGAGGAAGATCCTCAGCGTGACGTAGCTGCTCACCGGCGAGTACGTCTCGTCGTAGTCGGCACCGTACACCTGCGTGAAGCCCTTCACGACCAGCCTTGCCTTTTCGCGCTCGACGGTGTCGTCAATGCGGTACTTGGTCGTCAGCACCCCACGTGGGCGTTCGACCAGCTCCCAAGTGCCCATGCCGATGAGGCTGCGAATCTCTTCTTCCATGGCGGCCTTCACCGCCTCGCCCTTCCAGCTAGACAGCGCCTCCTTCACCGTCATCGTGGCGATGTCCCAGCGGTGTTCGGGGTCGGCATGCATGTCGGGGTCGAGCTCCGGTAGGTCTTCATCCTCCTCGGCGTCGTCGTACAACAGGTCATCGTCGACCTCGTCGAACACCGTGGTGAAGGCAGCTGGCGGTAGGCAGGCGTGGAAGCTCAGCCGCTCCGGTGGCCGTTGAGCTCGACCTGTTCGTCGCAGCTAAGGCTTCGTGATCGGCACTTCCACCACGTCGCTTTCGGTTGACTCCTCACCCGCCGACTGCTCCCCTTCCTCATCGACGTCCTCGTCGTCGACCAGCTGCTTCGACCCTTCGACCGGCTGCTCGTCTGCTGCTGACTTCGACAGCTCCCCTGTCGACCGCCCCGGCTGCTGCTCCCCTGTCGGCTGCACCGCTGCTGTTGCCTCCTGTTCGACCGGCTCCCCTGTCTGCTGCTCCTCTGTTGCCGACGGCTTCCCATCCTGGTCGACGAGCTTGACGCCTTGTCGACCGCCGGCGATGCCATGGGCCGGCGCCACAGGCGACGCCTCAAGGCTCCCCTCATCGTCGGTGGTCGACACAGGTGCCGACCCAGGCCGATCTGCGACGGGGAACGGAGGAGCAAGGACAGGGGGAGGGGGAAGAACCTCCACAACATCCTCAACAACAGGCTCGTCGACTTCGGCGAGCAACGGAATCGTCGCCGTCGAGGTGTCCGTCGGTGGGTGCGCCTGCGTCCGCTCCGACGCCGGCCCATATGTCGCCTTCCACACCTCAAGCGACAGCGTCTCATAGAAGATCACCTCGACCGACGTGACCACCTTGTTGTCGGTCAGGTCGAGCACCTCCCAGCCCTTGCTCTCCGGCGACACGCCCAGGTGAAGCCCCCAGCGAGCCTTCGGCGCCAGCTTCCCACCGCGCTGCTGGTCAGGAACCAGGAACTGCACCATGCAGCCCCACACCCGCGCCAGCGTGAGGTCAGGCTTCGTCCCGGTCAGCAGCTGGTACGGAGTCGTCCCCGGCGGCGTCGTCGACCGCTCCAAGCAGTTGCGCACCCAGACCGCCTGTCGAAGAGCAAGGTGCCACCAGTGATGCTGCACGCCCATGTGCAGCAGCATCGTCCGCACAGACTCGACGACCGTGCGCATCTCCCGCTCAGCCATCCCATTCTGCTGCGGAGTGTAGGGGCACGTCAGGTCGTGGACGATGTCCTTCCCGTCGACGAAGTCGGTGAACGCCTTGCCGAGGAACTCCCCTCCTCGATCGGAGCGAAGCGACAACACCGACTTCTTCGTCTGCCGTTCCACGAGCACCAGCCACCGCTGGAACTCCCGCAGCACGTCGCTCTTCTTAGCGACCGGCATTGCCCATACAAATC